GTGTGAATGTGACTGGATGAATGTGAATATGTCTTTCTCTTGTCAGACTGAATGTTTGCCCTCCCCCTACCTAATAGAACATTGTAGGCCCCAAGTATGAGCAGGACCTCTCCCCCTTCTCATGCTCCCCGCCAATGAGAGGTGCCTGCTGGCTCACTGATGGTTCTTTAAGTACGAGTTGAGCACCTAGCTGGGCGCTGTTTCATTCCTAGTGGTTGCTGGGCTGAGCCTAGGCCTCTTGGCCCTGTGGGGTCCCCAGTAAGGGTTGGTGAGCCCATGGACCTCAGACCCCTGGGCTCTTATGCAGGTCTACGTTGAGTGTGACAGGCCGCTGGCAGAGCCCATGGGTCCACTTGCACTGTCCCGTGGGACCTAGGCACTATGGCCTCTGGGGTTGTGCCCCTCAGGGACTGGGTCCCTTAAGCCTGTTTAGAGCTCAGAACCCAGGTTGTCTGCGTGTGTGTCGCAGTTAAATCAGATATGCCACTCCCTCCCTTCCGCAGACACTCTGGTGCACCTAAACAAAATTGTAGGTAACCGCAGACTGTGCCGTTGATAGTGTCACAGGAAGGACAGAAAAGATGCCTCTGATTGGTCAATTCTACATCCACTCTATTTGGCAGTTAATGGCTGAAACTCTGGCTGTAGTGTCATCCATAACACCTGGCCCACCTCTGACACTATCCCAGACACCGTACAGGATGCTAATTTGTAGTTCTCTGTGAAGGTCTGGTAATTTGCCCCCAAAGCCAAACCATGCAGCGAGAGAGAGTGAGAGAAGCTTTGTAAATCCTTTATAACGAGCATGCCCATGCATACCTACCACAGGAGTTTGGTTCCAGGTGCTCATGGATACCAACTACTGTAATACTAGATACTAAGCTGCAGCTAGAGATATATACCACCCTGAATAATACTGTGTAATCACAATAGGTTTTGCCTTCGACACACAAGGATATCTAAGGGATACCTGCTGCTCTTGAAGCCTTTTCTTGATGTTTACTTTTTTTGTCTGTTGTTTATCTCTTTTCTTTCCCTCTCGTCGCATACAGGTATGGAAGCAGATTTCTAAGAATTACTGTATCTTCTGTGTTGTCTATTTTTACTGTTTTGTTATATTTCTTATCTTTTCAAGCGCTCTTTTCTGTCTCTATGTCTTTCTTTCTCCCCTTAGTTCTTACAGCCTTTTTCTTCCTCACCTCCCTTTCCATCTCTATGTCTATTGCTTTTAAAGGAAAAGTCAGGTCACTAAGGAATAATAACTAGGTCATTATCTATACCTAAAACAAATACGTTTGCGGTTATTTAATTAAGTGAATAAAAGAATCGTTATTTCACCTTTCCGATGCATGATCCTCCATAGACGGGTTACTGCGGTCCTGGTTGTTGGATTGCCAACTTAAAGAGGGAGGATTTGCCATCCAACTTCTGGCCAGAAAAAAAAGCATGTACTATATAGCCAACATTTCAAAAGAGAATGTTTTCAAGATGAATTGGATAGTAGGGCGTTGTGAAAACACCAGATAAAGCACTGGGACTTGCTCAACTGCAGACACCATATCGTGACGTCACAAACCGGTAAATGGCAGTAGTGTTCTTTAACAAACATGGATGGGGATGGGATGGGCTACCATTGTGCTTTGCCGAGGAGCAGTATGGCGGTTAAGGGTCTTTCTCAGAGTGGCAGTCCGTGGGGCTCGAACTAAGAACCTCAGGATTCTAAGCTCAATGCCCCAGCCACTAGGCCACCAGTCCCCCTTTATTTAATTACAAAATCCTATTAAAATTCTCCATAACTTTTTACCTGGTCTTCATGGTTCTGCTGGTTCACCGATATCCTCTAACAAACCTCAGATGGAACAATAACACATACTGACATTAAATTAAAGTTAAGTCAACCTGTCTTTACTAGGTAGGGGACTTCTGGTGGTCATTTGTTGAACTAGACTTTATTATTTATTTAGGCATCATCTTTTTACTTCAGAAGTAAGAAATACTCTTTGATGGTCTAACAGACAGTATGTTTTTAATATGCATTCATGGTTCTGTTCTTAAGGTCAAAACATGTGACAAAGTTCCAGGCCTAAAAATACTTAAAGTCACTTTAATTGGAGACTGATAGAGCAAATGAGGACATGCCTCTTTGACTAGAAGGGGCAAATAAAATAGATCGCCACTTGGGATTAATAAGCTGAAAAAAGCAGATGTTCAAGAAGTATTTAAGTGACTAGTGATGATTTATCTGTTTATTTATACATTCCAAGAAAGAATAAGCTTACAAACAGATTTTTTTTTTTTTGTAAACATTTGTTTGATCCACTTGGGAAAATTCAGATCTTTGACATGACACCTGTCTCCTTCAATAAGCTGTTGCTACAAGCAGAATAGAAGATTAGGTAGAATCTGTAGTGAAGAGGAAATCAAAAAATATTGCAGGAAACAGTTTGCAACCATTAGTAAAATAATTAACAACAATCTGCACACAAACATACAGTTTCTCACATGGGCTTGTATGTTTTACCTGGATTTAATTAAAAATGATTCAGCCTTAGGCTAAAGCTTCATTTTACATAACAAGCACACCACCACCTCCTCCCTTTACATGAGTAATAATGTGACCTTCTTTCATTTCACATATGTGGTTATACGGCTTCTGTTATGCTTAGACAAATCTCATTCCCAGCATTACAGATGGCAGCTTTATCCCCCACTTCCTCCTCATCCTCCACCCCTTTGAAGGGCAGACAACCCACATTACTTTTAAAGGCTCCAAAAAACTGTAAGGCTGCAAGGCTCAGCTTAATCCCAGAGCTGCTGCCCACAGAGTAATGTGGAGTGAAAGACAGAGTTTGGTAAAGTCTTGCTACGAAGTTACGTAAATGCATTTTAACCTTGGCGGCAAGAAGGGGAGGACTGTCTTATTCAGTGGATGGATGGATGGATGGATGGATGGATGGATGGATGGATGGATGGATGGATGGATGGATGGATGGATGGATGGATGGATGGATGCTGTGATTGTCTTTATCAGCTACAAGAAATGATAAAAAACTTGCATAGATAACTGCTTAATATCTCTGTTCTCAAAACTATTAAAATGGCCGGCTTTGTGATGTAACAAATAAGACAATAAGAAACAACATAACAACTCTTTTTCAATACAATGTGGCTTTTATCCTGCATTTCTTGGCTAAAAAAAGGCTCATCTTAATCTAAAGTTTGTTAAATTATAGTCTATATAGAGTCTGTATAACATCTTGAGGTCACCATATTTGGCCACTCTGACTGCAAAGGTTCTCCATTCTCTAGTCCATTTTCCTCTAGAAGAGTTTTTTTTTTTTTTTTTTTTTGAGGTCACCATATTTGGCCACTCTGACTGCAAAGGTTCTCCATTCTCTAGTCCATTTTCCTCTAGAAGAGTTTTTTTTTTTTTTTTTTTAACAGGTTTTGTCCTTGCCTTTGACTCTAAACAAAACCACCTCCTTCCTGATCAGTCTGCTTTCTCCCCTCAGACCAACCTGAAACTTCAGCTGACTTCTTGCAGTTCATTTCTTCCAGATTCTGGGTGCCTTTTGTAAATAAAACGTTAAAACTCACCGGTTCTCTATTTAATTTTGCATATGAGTAAAAGAAAAAAACAACAACAACCTACAAATCAACTTGACAGACTGTAGCTCAAACAAGAATGAATTAATTATGTCACGCCCAGCCCACATGGCTTAAGATACAAGAAGATCCTAAGGAGCAAATTGTTGGAGAGTGAAAAATAAGCTTCAATAACAACCCTTATAGCCATTTAAATGTCTCTACAGGAATGGATTTATCTGCAAACAGAGCGCTGTGGGGCTCACCATCTCCACCTGCAGCGGATCCAGTTGCAGAGGCAAAGAGGAGGGCACTGAAAAGTGAATCTTCTTCCGCGCGCCCCTGTCCTGCGCTCTCTCCATCATCTCTGGCTCTGTTGGTAGCAGAGGCTCCATCACTTTTAGGCTGTCTCTTCCCGCAGCCCTAAGCAATGACATCCGGTTTGATCCAGGTGATCGCGGCAATGTCGGTTCAGTTAGATGTTAATTATCCGATAGTCAGTTTGAAGCAGGTGTGAATAAATGGAAACATCTAACTGAGTCTCTGTTTGTCTCTTCGGAGGTTTTACAGCTTCCTCTCACTCTCTCATGCGTTTTCTAACCTCCCCTCAGTCAGTATCTGACCGTATGCCAGCCCCTCTGTGATTACTGACCTGTTCCACTTAACGAGCAGAAACCGAGCTTTATGATGCTTTCAGTTGCAGTAGGAAATTTGTCATTTCAAAGTGGCCGAGCTAGAAATTGTGTTGCATGTGAGTTCAAAGTGGCCTCAATATTCTTATTTAGAGCCCCCCAATTTCTGCCAATAAAAAGTAAAAAGTATTTTTTTTATATATCATTCAAACATCTACTTTAAACATGTTGCAGATTTTGCGGTGCAGCTTGTTGTCATGTTCTTATATGCATTTTCTAGTGTTACTTAAAGTGACAAAATAAAGGAGCATGCACTTTATTCACAGTAGGCTATAAGTTTCATTTGGTTTATAATTTTTGGTTACAAGAACAAAATCGCGAAAAAATAGTATATATAGAATATAGAAAATGTCAGACATGAAAACTCAACTCAGTTCCACTTATTTATGTATAAAAATACCAGGGTGATCAAAATCCAGTCCGCGTTTTTAAACCAACACAAATATTTTAATTCTTAAAGCTTTCAGGTTTGCTTCCCAAACCCAAGGGTCCACAAAAAGAAAAAAAAAAAAAAGAAAAACATTGCATTTTATTTTTCAAAAGATTAGCCACCCAATAAAAGACCAACCACATTTAGAGAGGATGCAGAACAGCTCATCTATGCTGGATTCATAGAGGAAAAACCTCAGGGATGTTCTTCTTTAATTATTACTTATCATATCCATTTATCTTTATTTTGGTCAATTGAATATGTTTATAAACTTAATTCTCATCACAGTTTCCAAAGGAAACATTCAGAGAAGTGCCATCTTCTGTCATGGTGAATATTTATAATATCTACAGCCTCCTAGAAAAACCTGAATTGTTTAGCAGTTTTGTCAATTTTAAGAAAAACTAATAAAATAATGAATAAAGCATGTTAATCCTTAGCCTATTACCAAATATTCATACACAGTGTAGTTTGCATCGGTTTCAATTGCACTGGTTCCTGTATCAGTGCCAGTAATCCAGTAATAGTTTATTAGTTCCCCATTTTTTAATTTACTTGAACTGCAGAGAATAATTGAACAAAGTTGTGAAATTATTAGTTTAAAGTATATTTAAGATGCAAGTATTTTAGTAGGGCCCATTTTTCTTTACTTAAATTCTCTAAAAATCACCAGAATGTAGAAAATAATGTATATTGTGAGAAAAATGTTCCACATAACTACAGACCACTGATTGTTACCCAGTAACATTTACTGTACTATAAAAATCCCAAATTTTGCCACTTTGTTTCAGTTAAATCCTGTGAAAACCTCCAACCTATAGCCGCACCTGTCCTCATCTAACCCTGACAGGGTTGCATGTCTAAACTATTTCAAAATCTCACCCCAAGGTTTGGTGAAAAGTGGGCAGCCCTGTAACTATATGTGCTCTCCTCCATCCTCTTGACCTGAAAACCATCTTATCTTCTTAACTATGTTTCTTTCCCAAACAAAGCCACCAAGGAGCTAGTCTACCATTGTCTTAATGAATATAGAAAGTTTTTTGGAAAAGTGTTAGAAAACAAAGCACATAATGAAGACTAAGAAGTACAGCAAAAAGGTCAGAGAAAAAAGTTGTTGAGGTGCTTAAAGCAGAATTAGGTTATAGAAAAAAATCTACGCTTTGGACATCTCTCAGAGCACATTATCTGATAATAAAAAGGGGAAGGCATAAATGAAGACTAACTAAAGCATGGCTGTCCACCTGAGATGACAGCCAGGGTAATAATCAGCAATGAAGCCATAAAACCTGCCTTTTATGTATGAGTCAAATTTTTTTGAAAGAAACTTATAAGTCACATTTTAATGATGATGGATTGTTACATTTTTTTTCACTAACTCCCCATCTATTGCAGGAAATGTACCTTTTTTGTGATTCTATAAACATTTGATAATAAACAGAGCGCTGACTTGCTGGGTTCTGGGCATAAACTGGAACATCAACAGAGCGCAAGGATGGAATCATGTAAATAACTATGTTTTTCGTGGTAATTCCTTTATGATTTTTAATATTTAAGACCAAAATATAAACACGTGTATTTTTATCCATTTGTAGTTTTGATAGACCACCACAAGAGGACGCAAGCGGATAACGCTCTGTTCGTTTTTAACACACATACTCATGGTTTATTACAGATTATCACCAAAATGTGATACTTGTCGACAATAAAATCGCTAACTGTATTTAGAAAAGGACACATCATATAATAATAAATCCACTGGTGCTTTAAATGGTTATTATAAGCAGAACAACACAAGGTTTTGCTTGTTTTGAAAGAATCTTGCAGCCAAATGTAGTAGCTCCTTTTAACCAGCAGATGTCGCTCATATCTAAATAATAGACACTTGACAACCAAACAAGCATGTTTGAAACCTCAAAATTGATTCAAAGTCTTAATATCCATGCTCTAATTACGTCTGATATTTACATTTTATATAGAAAAGATCTTAATGACATTTTGCTATCCAATTAAAAGTAGGGTAAGCTAGGGTTAGGGTTGCTATCTTGCATAAACCCCAATATATCATTTTTATACATTACATTATATTGTTATTAGTAAGAGATTTAAATGTAATTTGGGTCTGGAGAAATCATCTTCTTTACAATAAAAATAAACCCTTTTTATTTCAATATAATTAAAAAGGGAGATAATATTTACATTTTACAGCATTAATTCCTTAATATGAGCCTGTGAGCAGAACAAACTCTGTATAAATGCCACATTAGTTTTCACACAAAGGACCAAGAAAAAGAACAATGCTAAATTATTTCTTGTAAATATGTTGCTGATGTTTTGTATGAATCTTTATTTATCTATATTTTCAATTTCTCTGCCTAATTTCTCTATAGAAAAGGGGGTTGCAGCATTCTTTTACAGTAATAGTTTTTGTAATAGTAATTTTAAGGCACTGTAAATATATGTGTGTGTATATCCTACATTACTCTTTGTTTTGCTGGAAGGATTAGAAAACATTGATGGTGTCTTGCAAAAGTAGGATGTATTGTTGCGAATTTAATATTAAGGAACAACAGCATGCTGCCCATAAAACACATTTAAATTAAATGTAACCTTTGTAAATTACTTAATCTGTAAAATAATTTGATAACAGTAGAAGAAACAACTGTTAAATCCCACTTTGGTTTATAAGACAACATTACAGAGCAAACAACATCAGAAAAGCCAAGTAATGGAGCAGAAAAATCAGGGAGAAAGTTGAGAAGAGGTCTAAAAAATGGAACAAAATCCTATGCACCAGAAATCTCACAAAAATACATTAAAATCTAAATGGTGATAAAATGATAATATGTGCCGCTCAAAAAGACATTCCAATAAAATGAAAACAATGTGGAACAACTACAACCCTATGAAGATATGGTAGAGATTTTGACTTCACAGTTCAGGGGGAATCATCAAGTATTTAGTTGTGCACTTGACAGGAGAATGATAAGAAGAGTGTTGAAAAAAATTAAAGAAATCCTATTTTAAGTCAGGAGAAGCGGGGACACAGATACATTAAGAAAATAGTGCTGTTTTTTTAAAACAGGAAAAACTGCACATCCTCTTGAACACTGGGTGGTGACCATAATGTCAATATCATAGGACACATCATCTCAGCAGGAACCAAGACGTTAGCTAAAGATGATGGGAAGAAAACACCAGGCAACATGTTAGAGGCTATAAAAGATCTGAGACGAGGCCAGAGATCCACTTTTCCACAACACAGCAACTATTAATATTCAATTTGGTTCTACTAAAAATACTTTGGTAATCCCAAATGGAAATAAATGTTGTTGTAAATCATATATATTTCTTCAGCGAGATGTTGTAGATGTTGAAGACTATATAGTGACTATACAAGTCTATTTCAGTGGTTTAGTTTAAAGCTTGTCCATTTAAAATCATAATCATCTTCACTTTCTCACCTTAATTAGGTTCCCTTTTTGTTTGTTTCCTCTAATTGAACATATTTAATTTTAAAGAGGCTATGTATGTGCTCTTTTGACTGTTTGTTCTGTATGTATTTGCAATTATCTCCCAGAATTTGTCTGTTATTAAATATTTTCATGTCTGACTGCTTTTGTTATGTTTTTCTTTATCTTTACAGTTGAATAAATCACGATTCGCTTATTTTCATTAGTTAGTAAAAGAAAAAAAACCTGTAATGTTTCAACTATAGAAAAACTATGAATGCAGCTTGTTCCTTAAAGATAATGTTTGCATGATCTAAAAAGATATGTAAATGAGTTACATTTGCGCAAACTGTGCTGATTCTCCATGTGTGTGAAACCTGGTCCATGTTTTCCTTGGCTAAATTTTAATGAGAGGATTGGGAACAACAGCACTTTAACATTTATCTCTTTTAGTAAAAAAAAAAAGAGGTAGAACTCGCTCAATAGTATGCAAACTTTGCATCAATAATACGATGGAGATTATAAGCCCGCTCCCCCTTGTTTTCGTGCTTATTATTCATTCCCTTTCTTATTCTTTGACTTCTGCTCCCTCTCTGCAATCTGTGCCTCTGCCACCTTTGGCACTGTCCGCCCACATGGCACCTGTGCCAAGCCTGGCAGCACAAACGGGACGCTCTGCTTAGCTCAGTTCAATTGACTCGTTTAGGCAATTGCACCCTGACTCTGATCTCAGTTGCAGCCCAGATATTTATTTATCCGTAGCCTTTGACTGGCCATCGTAGAGTTTTCTTAGCTTTGAAGATCATGATCATTTGTGCATGCAATGAACAATGAATCTTCTCTGTATGAACGGAAGGTCAGGAAAACAGAAATAGTTTATTGAATATTGAATATCCATTATCACCATAAATACTTGGTAAGATGTAAAGTTAATTTGTTAAAATGGTCATTATATTTTAAAGTCCTTTACAATTGTTTTATTCATTATTCAATGCTTCTTTTACTGTAAATTTAAAATACCA